GTTGAATGGAAAGAGCAAAGTGACAGAAAGGAGTTGAAAAGAAGAAATTGGGAGGTGTGAGTGAATCAAGAGTGAAAATTATCACGTGAAAATAACACGGGGAGCATTTTTAACCATGCGCGAAGCACTTTTTTTTCTCTTCGATTCCTCTCTCCAGCGCAAAATTCAAAAAACCACATGAAAACTGCATGCGCCCGAACAAGTGCCCGAGCAATATTTGGGTTCTCTTTTGACCAACAATGACTGCATAAGAACATTCTCAATGAGTACGATAAGTATATCATGTTAAAGCTCTCACTCTCAGCTTTCTATAGCCACCAGTCCCGTTGTTAAATGACCGGTAGAACCCTTTCAACCGATAAAATGAAAATCATATGCCAAAATCCGGTCTCTTTAAGTAGTTACACCAAGTACGTCAGACATATTGACTATATTCAATCTACATGAATGTATAACTGTATAATAGATCTGTTAAGTGCAAAAAGAAGCATTCTAATCGCCCATATAATGACCTTATTTCAGTAGTAAAGGTGCAAAAGGGACATTTAATTACGGACGGAGGAAGTAGTTGTTAAAGAAAAGAATAAGTGGGAATAAACAGCAGCTCAATATTTGCTCTGTATTCTGATCGATTTAGCGATTCGGCAATTCAGTGGTCGGTACGGTTTAACCCTAACCCTAATCGTAATACTCGTACGATTCACTCGTATTGTACAATTCACCAAAGATATGATTCAACCTTATGATTCAACCTTAACCTTAATCATATAACTCGTACGATTCATTCGTATCGTACAAGTGACTCAACTCATCCGTATCGTACGAGTGATTTTCACAAGTTTTTAATCCTATTCATACACGGAAATTGATGTGTTCCACTTCTAAGACCCCTGACTCTCCCATATGGTTAGATCCATGTGCTTAGCATACTTAAGCGTCCATTGGGGACAAAGATATAGCTGTTTGAGTGAGTTGGACCTCTTTTAGTGCCCTACTTGTTTTTTGTACTGTGTGTCAATTTTGGGCTATCTAATTACCGTGTAATGACTTCTGGGATTAGAATTTTGACTTGTACTACAAGTACACCAGCAGAGCACATGCAAGCAAAACTATTTTGGTGCAAGCGAAACTATTTTGGTCGCACAGATGTGGGATTAAAAAATTCAAGTACAGTACAACAAGTACTGAGCATGTGCATTTTGTATGTATTTAATTTTTTTAGTCAAAGAAGTCATTATATGGAAATAAGTAGCCCAAAATGTAGGACTGCATTGTACATCTGGCCGCCAATGCTATACAATAATTCAGGGTTTGGTTGCCATGAATTGTTTCTCTTGATTTTTCCCACAAAGGATGTCCAATCAACAAAGAGGTTGTAGCATCTAAGGTAAAAGAAATCCTTGTTTTTGCCATCACCTTGCTTCTTCATTGTTCTAGATACCATTGTCCTACTGCACCATATGCTTGTCAAACTGGAGGTAATCTCATCCACCAACTGAATTGCATCTAAATTTAATGGAGATTTTGTCAAACCAGAGGTACTCTCATTGCATTAATTTCAATCTAAAGTAAATGGAACGTTTTGTCAATCTGGAGGTAATTGAATCACATCTAACTGGATTGCAACATCAAACTAGATTGCAATCTAAATTTAACAGGGAGATTTTGTTGAATTGGAGGTAATTCCTCAAACTGGATTGTAATCTAAATTAAATGGGGAAATTTTGTGGAACTGAATCTCTACATACTAATGTCATCAACATGAGGCCAACACTGATTGTACCTGTAAAAATTATTGCAGAAGTGTCCTGGCTCTGCAGCACATTCTACTCTTTGACTTGAAGGAGTCAGGATTGAGTTGTGGAAAGAGCCCTATCATTTCAACCAATGTGGAATACAATTTTTGCCCACATGCAACTATTTTGGCAATTCTAACAGCAACCCCAACCCACAGAACCATCAGATCATGGAATTGGTGTAAATCCAGCTCATGAACCCAAAGTCCATGTACCCCCTTCCAATATATTGAATCTATCACCATATGCTCAGCTGCACATTTCTGGCCAAACCAATCATGCATTCTTATTCTATAATCAAAACTACATATTGATATATTCCACTATTAGGACCCACTAACTCCCCCATATGACTATAATCCTCTTTTTACTGGGATTCGATTCATGTGCCTGTCATTGTTAAGGGCCTGTTGGGGACCAAGATAGAACTGTTTGAGTGAGTTGACCCTTAGTTAGTCATCTTTTTACTGTGTAATGACTCATGGGATTAAAAATTCAAGCCAAAAATATGTGTTAAAGTAGGAATTGCAAAACTATTTGGTTGCACAACTATGGGATTGAAAAATTCAGCATGTGTCTGGCTGTGAACTGCAGTACAAGCCAGTTTTTTGTCAAAGTAGTCATTACAAGCAAAATAAGGGCCCAAAATCTATGACTGATGCCCACATTTGGTGGCCAACTCTATACAATAAAACAATTGTTTTGATAGCTGGAGAACAATTCCAGAAAATGTTGGCATGAGACTGGGTTTTGCACTATTTTGGCAATTCTGACACCAAACCCAACCCACAGAACCATCAGAACACAGGAAATTAGCGTGACACTGTGTTTTTGCCTTCCGCTTGTTTATCTTTGCCCTCTGCTTTGTTGGGTGGGCATAACCATAGTAGATTTCTTCTGTGGATTGTGGAGGAACTGAGTCAGGGGAGCTGTTTGGGTATCAATGTACATCCTTATGGAACTCTTTCACAAGGAAGTCTGGTGTTTTGAGTCGCTCAGTTTGCTTGGTTTGCTGCTTGCTTTTTGCAGCATCCTCCATTTTTAGCTGGGGTTGTCTCACTCATAGGATGTATTGTTCTCAATCAATTCAAAGAGAACAAAATGGGATTGATGCATCATGTTAAAGCATGGAGAAATGCGTCAGCCACTGTTCCTTCTGATAATCTGGAAATAGAACAAATGATTCATGGAGGAGGTGTCGTGCCAAATTTTGAGTTCACACAATTAGTGGCCTAATTTTGTGAGCGCTTTGTCTGTTGAAGTGTAGAGTATCCGTTGTGGGACTGAAATGTGTTGAGTCTAACTAGTCATTACATGATAAAAGATGGCCCAAAATCAAATGCACAATAATTTAACTGTATAACTGTTTTAGTCATAAACTGACAGTTAGACCTCTAACTTTTGTTGCAAACTGGCCTTTAACAGGGCCCTCCAGAACCAATACATGTGCATCCCCCCTTTGAAATTGAACATCAGGGACATGATTTTGTGGGTTATTTTACCCATAAAATAACACACAATCCAAAAACGTGGGTAATTTTTCACATAAAATAACCCATGTTTCAAACGTGGATTCCTGGGTTAACCCATGAATAACCCATGCAATAAGCCACAAATTACCATACGAATTAACCCAAGAACCTCCTGGGCCTATTTACAAAAATTAGAAACAGTGATTAAATAATGTTAATGTCTAAAATGCACAACATCCTTGGTTCTCCATCAACCCAGATGACTGTAAATTTGTGGGTTATTTGTGGGTTATTTTTCCCATGTAATAACCCACCTTTTTAAAATGTGGGTTATTTTTCACCAAAAATAATCCACGTTTTTCTAGGGAAGGAATTTGAAAAGGGGGACGATGTGCACTTGGGTACTGGAGGGCCCAGGGATAAGCACAACATTGTTGTGTTCCTTGTGAAGACAGAACTGTGGTCATGTGGTGGGTGCACAAAGTAATGTGTATTTGAAAGTTTATCACAATAAAACAATAAAAGATATTTAAACTGTGAAGTGTCACAATGTTTGGGAGATGTTGAGTGCTTGAGACATCTTGTGTCATTGTGGATTCTCTAAAAAGAGGAGGAAGTAGAACATCCTCCCTTGTAAACATTCAGAATGTTAAGTGAAATGTGAAGAAGTTACATTGCATTCAAGCAACAACCTAGTAGTAGCTACTATTCATTTCTACACAGGTCTACTACAGTGTTCAAATTTGGAATGTTACTTAATGCATTGTGGTGAACTGTTAAGGAAGCATTAGTAGTGTCACATGTGGATCATAGTGCTCTTAATTGGTACATAGTGGTAGTCATTGTTTTCAGGTTAATTTGTTTGTAGTACTTGTATTATTTTAGGTTTCACACTACTAGAGGAATAGATTTGAATGATATAACTACTGATATTTTGTGATCTACAGGGAGCTATTTTTTTGGTAAGTTGCTTCCTTGAAAATGTGATGGCATGGATTCTGTGTGAAAGTATCATGTCTTAGACTCTGCCAAACACAAGGCGTTACAGGATTTGAGATGTTCTGTACATGACTGCAACCAGTTCCTATCTGTTCAAACGTCAAAAAACATGTTAGTGCCAATTTAGCAAGTCCACCGGCATAAATTAGTTCTCCATGATCAAATATCACCACCTTAGCATGATCATAAGAGTAATCGCCAAAAAGAAATCAGTGTAGAATCATAAATAATAGTATTCAATAACTTTGTTACAAAATTGACAAATTACTGTACAAACCGAATCACAACTAACATCATTGCTCTCAAATGATAGAATACTTTGAACCATGCGGAACAAATTCAATTTGATGAATATCTGTTGGCTCTAATTGTGCTCTTTCATGATAAATGCATTGATTTGTCGGCAACAATCATGACAACAACATTGAGTTGGTTGCAAGAAAACCAAGGGCATGATCATTCTCTCCATATCAATTCTCAAACGTCTGTATGTCTTTCTCTCTTTAAATGCTTGCTTACAAATTATTCTTCGTCTTGAAGATTATCGGAAACGGGCCCACATGGATTTGAGAACCAATTCTTGGGTGAAAAACTGTCAATATTCTCGATACCCAGTATTTCTGTCATTACATCGGCTGGATTTTCATCAGTACATGCTGCAATTGCTTTTTTCATCAAAATGGCGTGATGAGACTGTGGGTTCGCAGCACAGTATTTCGCCGAGTCAACTAGGTCAATACTATCCAATGTATTCAACACAATCGGATGATTGTCTTCGAGAACGGATTGTTGGACCTTTTTGGACAGCAAGTCGAAAGTTGTTTACGAGGAATGATGAAATGGGATCGATTCAATAAATGGTAAAAAAATTCAAAAATGATTGGGTATACAGCATCCGTTTTGATCAAAGCGATGGCACAGAACTTACCAGTAAGGCTTCATCAAGGGCGATGCCCGCTTCGTCGAAATCCCCCCATCGCAACCGAATCGAACCAATGTTGAGAAGCGTGGATGCCATACTTAATAGAAGGCAGTTCGACTGCGCACCATTCGACTCCGCACCTTCTGTCGGTGGTAGGTTACGAAGAGCCTCGCGTTGAATGTCCAGAGCTTCGTCAAAGGCACGCTTAGCTCCGGCAAAATCTTCAATAGAATACAAGGCGCAACCAATGTTGTTCAGTATCTTGGAGCATTTTGTGTGTCTAGGACCCAAAAAGTTCCGACGAATATGAAGGGCATCTCTAAAGGCAGCAAGTGCCTCATGGTAGTTTTCGGACTCCAAATGGGCCACACCAAGCTGGGCAAGACTCACAGCCACATCGGGATGGTTCGGTACCAAAGAGTCCTTGCGAACATCTACGGCGCGCTGACAAATTTCAATCGCCTTTAGGTAGTCTTTCTTTTTCAGGTATACGATGCCCAAATTATGAAGTGCCGTCCCCACTCGGTAGTGGTCTTGGCCATATCGTTGCTGCTGGCCCCGCAGAATCTCTTCAAAGACATCTGCAGCCTCTTCGTACTCGCCATGTGCCAAATGTTCGGCTGCCATTTCGTGAATGGCACGGAGATTGTGCTCCGCTTCTAAAAAGGCTCCCTCATCCAGGTCGCAAGGAACAGATGTGCTTTTGTTGCGCGGTCCTCCCAACAACTTTCCTTTCGAGTTGGCGCTTGTGACACCTGTTGTATTCGTGCTGTCGAGTGGTCGATTGTATTGTTTGCGAGCAACAATTTTCGTTGCACCTCCAGGCAAAGGAGGGGTGTTCGGGCTATTGGTTCGAACCACAGTCGAGGCCAAGGAAGGCGGAGGCTTTTTCTTCGTGGACGCAACCCTCTTCTGCATACTTTCGGGAGCCGAAGTGCCATTTCCGACAGCACTCGATCCAGACTGAACCGATAAGCCCCCCCCCGAATGGCTTCCCGACAAACTCGATTGGACAGTTGGAGACAGAGATGATTCTTCTCCATCAATTTCTACAATGCTTTCTTTGGTCAAATTTTTTTCTGTGGAGTTCTTGCCGCTCGAAAACGACGTAATCGTCACGCAACGGTCTTCTTCGTCGCCCACCAAGATGGGGATGCCAGAATTCTCGCGTTCCAAGGACAAAGGAGATAGTGCTGCAGTCGAATGAGTGTCCGTAGAACTGGGAATCATTATGGTGCTGCTGTTTCCGCTGTTGATACTGGAATTGCTCCCAGACGATTTGTTCCTGTTTTTTCCCAATCGACGTTTGAACAAGGGCGGTCGCCTTGGTTTGGATTGTTGCTGGAGAGCGGCCTTGCTGTTTTTGGGAGATGTCGACATGGGTGGCTTTTGGGAACTTCCTTTCGAGGTTGAGCTCCTCATCGACCGCGCACCCACGCTATTGTTGCTGCCGCCACTGATGACGTTGATAGCTTCAATGGCGGTCGCTGGACCCGGGATTGGATTGTGACTCACTCGGTCCGAATCGGACAAGGTAGGGGAGCGATTGACCTCCACTTCTTCTTGGGATTGTTCGTACGGCGAGGCAGATTCTTGAACGCTGTCCAATCTCGTTGATGGAAATCCAGACGAAGACGATACAACACTTTGAGCAGACCCTCCCAATCTGGAATGATAATTGACGTAGTTTCCTTCTGTTTCTATTGTCGCGTGTTTTGGCTGTTTTGTTACGTGCGCGCTGTTCCTTTTGGTATCAAAGCTGTCTTGGTAGTTCGGTCTCAATACTGTGTGAGGAGCTGTGGGTCTGTTGGCCTTGTTGGTTGCAACGGGTGTCTCGGTGCTATGGAAGGTATGAAAGCTGGTGTTGGATTTTCTCGAGAAATGCGACAAGAAAGATCGGGTAGTAGACGACGATCTGCTCGTAGAAGACGATCGATTCGTCAGCGCACTAATCACAGAAGCGTTGGATGAAAAGTTGCTGGCTTTCTTTTTCCCAAAGCGTGGTTTCCATCGCATTTTCCGTCGTACCTTGCCATTCTTCATCACAACTCCACCAAGGGGGCCAGCCGACTCCATAATGTATTGCTGGTGATATTTTGACAGACTCAGAGACGAGAGATGCCGATTGTGAACCACGGAAGGTCCATCTCTGTATACCGTTAGCTCGTCGTCTTCGTCGAAACTAGAACGGTCGACGATTACTCCAAGCAAAGAACCGTTGTCGTCAAAGGTTGGAAACTTGTCGTCTGCTTCTCCAACATTGTTCCTGTCGGAACTTCGTAGGGAGACGGATGAAAAGCCGTCATAGTCTGTGTCTCCTTCGTCATGCGTTGCTCTAATCATTACTGGATACCCGATCGATCGCTGCGTTCGCTCTTAGATGATTCGCCACGGCAGGGGCCTTCTTCCGAATTGGAGTATTATCGAGAACGAAGACTTTCTCGGAAATCTCAAAAATATATCGTTCTGCAACCCGAGCCACTAAGATCTTTGTTCCTACTGCTATGCCTGTCACTGACACCTTTTCGTTCGATAAGCTCTTTGCAGCACGGATACCGAAACTGTCGATGTCACAATAGAGGCAGCTTGCAATCTGGAAGGCTTTATCTTCTACAGAACGATATGTTTATTGCATTGGGTGTCGTGTTGAGCTAAATTGATAGCATGCTATCCGTAGTGTACGAGTAAGAGTACGAGTAAACGAGCGCGAATACGAGCTTCGAGAATTGGAACCGCGGTAGGAATTGGAGTGTGAGGGGGAACAATAAAAAGTCTAATCTACAGCGCCAAAGATAGGCCAAGGGTCGCGTGCGTCTACGTTTGTTTTGTTTCTAAGGATGCTCCTACGTAATCTACAGATGTGGTTCTCCACGATTCCCCCAAAGTATCGGTGGTTCTCCATGTAGAATTGGCGGACGGTTAATAGAACGTTTGGATAATACTATTCAATCGATTAGATATTTTTCCTCGTACCAGTACGTACCGTACTACCGTGCGATGGAAGAAGAGTTACAACTCGATATTTTTTAGTCATACGCACTGCACGATTCCGTTCAGAGTTGGGTCTGTGTTCTCGAGTCTTGATGAAATTGTCATTGGAAGCAAATTTCCTATACATTATACAGATATGAGGAATTATATTGCGGGAATCAATGAAACAAAATAGCAGGTTTTAGTCGAATCAGTCAATTCTAATTTAGTATTCCAGTCTGCAAGTCAACCGAGTGTGACCTAATAACGTACGAATGTCAGACACTTTGACGCTGTAGAGAGAGAACATAACTTGTGGTAAAGCTTGATGACGATGTGTCCTGTACGAACAGTGGGCTTCACGAGGACGGGTACGGTACGTAATCTAAGGTACTGTCAATTATCGTACAGTAATTGGGAGTCAAGTGAATTACTACTAAAATTCTTTGTGTTCCATATGTACGTTTCTGTGGCCATCGGCAAACCACGCAACAACGAACGACGCGCAGTCCGTTGCAAGCTGGATTTCTTACTGGCCACTCGACCGATTCTGCTTCACGCACACGAGAAACGAAACGCGACTGTTCCAGAAGCAGATTAATTTGGAAAAATATTAGTAACGAATGCTGAATTTTCGTATGTATGGTGGGGAGTGGACGGTGTGAACCACCAAACAGGAATGCCTTCCCGGCACTACTACTTACGTACGATCTGGTACTAATTCTACAGCTGTAGACCACGAATAAGTTATAGTAAGGAGGCTCCCAATTCCCAACACAAACAGGAGATTCCGGACGCTAATCTCTGTTTGGATAAAAGTCTAGTTTGAAACATATCTAGCAAAAGTTAGAATGGCCGACGAACCAAGGTGCGTTCCAAGAACTGTAGTAGCAGATGAATGCTCTGTTGTTAATAGATCGTGTTTCTGTGCCATGGTCGAAAATCCGATACGGAGCCACTACCTTGTGCGATGATTAATTGGGGGGACGAGAATGGTCGTCTTGCTGCAATCCCTTCCCACGAACGTATTTGGAATTTGCAATGGGGCCGTCTTCGGGAAGGACTTTTCTTGAAATACTTTTAGAAGATAGTATTTCAGGGCGATGTTTTGGAAGTGGAAGCAGATGTGCCGCTTTGTTACCAATATTTTGGCACTTGCCTCCCGCATTTATTTCTCACACAATTATTTTTGCACTTCATATTCTTCCCTTCACATTGCAGTGAACCCCCAGCCGACACCACTCCCGACGCGAGCGATGATGCTCCTGGTGGATTGACCGATGCCGACATCTCGTCCAACTGGGACGAGGTTATCGAATCCTTCGATGGCATGGAGCTTCCCGAGGCACTCCTTCGTGGTATTTACTCCTACGGTTTCGAAAAACCTTCTGCCATCCAGCAGCGTGCCATCAGACCCGCCATTTCGGGCAGAGACTTGATTGCTCAAGCTCAATCCGGTACCGTAAGTTTTATTTACTGCACGAAAATAAGCCTTCTGGCCTTCTTCCATGGTTGACTTTTTCGCGCTTTAGTCAATTGGCAAGCTTGCACGCAGAAGGATTCAGGGATGACGACTTTCTAGTTAAACACCATCTTTCGAGTCTGAATAAGAGTCACCCTCTAAGTGTCTGAAAAAACACAACTCGAAAACAGACCTCTTGACTTTTGCGTGCAACCTGAACAAGTTAGCATTGCGCCCCGGACATGAGAGTGAAAGCTTTGTTTGGGACACCACTAGCCTTTATCTCTTGAATAGTCCAGATATTCTCACAAATCTGTTGCTCTCGTCATTGCAGGGAAAAACCGCCACCTTCGCTATCGGTTGTCTTGCCGTTATCGACCAGAGTGTTCAACAATGTCAAGCCCTGATCCTGGCCCCTACTCGTGAGTTGGCTTGCCAGATTCAAAAGGTTGTCTTGGCTCTCGGTGACTACATGGACATTAAGGTACACGCTTGTGTTGGAGGTACAGCTGTCCGTGACGACATTCGCACCCTCCAAAACGGTGTCCATGTTGTTGTTGGAACACCCGGTCGTGTGAACGACATGATCACCCGACGTGCTCTTCGATTGGACTCCATGCGCCAATTCTTTTTGGATGAGGCCGATGAGATGCTTTCTCGTGGGTTCAAGGAGCAAATCTACGACATCTTCAAGTTCCTTCCCGAACAAGTCCAGGTCTGCCTTTTCTCTGCCACCATGCCCTTGGACGTATTGGAGGTCACCAACCGTTTCATGCGCGAACCCGTTCGCATTCTTGTCAAGAAGGACGAGTTGACCTTAGAAGGTATTAAGCAATTTTACATTGCCGTTGACCGAGAAGAATGGAAGCTCGAGACCTTGTGCGATTTGTACGAGACTTTGACCATTACCCAGGCCATCATCTACTGCAACACCCGACGCAAGGTCGACTGGTTGCAAGAAGAAATGCAAAAGCGTGACTTCACCGTCTCGTGCATGCACGGAGACATGGATCAGCGAGAGCGTGACATCATCATGCGTGAATTCCGTACCGGTTCCTCCCGTGTTTTGATTACCACTGATTTGCTCGCCCGTGGTATCGATGTTCAACAGGTTTCCCTGGTCATCAACTTTGACCTTCCAACAAACCGAGAGAACTACATTCACCGTATCGGTCGTTCCGGACGTTTCGGTCGTAAGGGTGTGGCCATCAACTTCCTCACGGAAGGAGATGTCCGTTATCTTCGTGATATCGAACAGTTTTACACCACTGAAATTACCGAGATGCCCATGGACGTCGCTGATCTTATCTAAGCCGGTGCCGTCGGAAGAACAAAGCTTCTTAGTACGACGATACTAGGGTGAAGGCGCGATGCTCCTTTTTCGTCAATTTTATATAACGAGAAAAAACTGTTACGTGATAAAAAATAATTATTTGGGACTTGAACTGAATCGATTGTTTCAAAAAATAGGTTGTTCGGAAGAATACAATTTAGTTGGACGTCAAGACTACAGCGGCAGTACGAAGTAGACATCATGTTGTCATCACCTGAGCTTCTGGCTCACAAGATACGGCACGGCATCTTCGCGTTCGAGAGGCAAACTTCCAGAATCATTAATAGCAATGCGTGCCGTCGGAGTTCCTCCCAGCGTTCCTTTCTCTTCCATTGCTGTGATCACGTCAACGCCATCTAACACCATACCGAATATTTCATTCCTGCCGTCCAGCCATTGAGTTTTGGCGGTATTGATGAACCATTGTGATCTGTTTGTATTCGGTTTCCCCCTTCCATCATTGGCCATGCTGAGCATGTATTTTCGATTGTGCTTTACGGCAAAAGACTCATCCTCAAAGGTGTTGCCCTCAAAAATGCTTTCACCCCCCGTTCCATCACCGTGCGTATAGTCTCCCCCCTGGATGATAAAATTCGGAATGACGCGATGAATCAAGGAGTGTTTGTAACACATATCCTTTCCCGTTATCGGAGCCTTTCCCCTATCACATTTGCACAATGCAGAAAAGTTTTCGACAGCCTTCGGAGCGACATCTCCGAACAAACCAAAGATAATGCGCCCGATAGGTTCATCGTCTATCAAAATGTCAAAAAACACTCGTTCGGTGACAAGAGGCAGTGTTCTTTGTGGGACGAGATAGCAAAGACAGCGGCGAATACAAAATTTTCTAGGTTACCATACTTTATAGAGAAAAAAAATGTCGAGGTGAATTGCTCCTGTTGCACGACAAGAAATATTTTTCCTGACTTACGGTATGGGGTCCATTTTCGGTGGCATAGCCTTCTTAGTTGGAACATCGTATTCGGACCAAACAGGAGCTATGCGAAGGAGCCCTATCAGCAAAATTTCTATTGATCGAAGAAAAAGCATGGTTTCTTTTCTAATACTACTGGTGTCATGAAGATCCCGCTTGGCATTAAATGATGAGTATTCCTTTCTTTATTGTTGAAGTCGTATCGTATTTTAGCATGGACCGTCCGGAAATACTTCAAAAGTGCTATGCAACCGTACGGTACGTAACGGACTTTAAACTGGGCAGGTTTGGTTCGTTACCTGAGAAAACTGTACGTGTACGACAGGAGTCACAATTTAATAGTAGTGGTGCGCGACATGACAAAACTGGAATTTTTTATTTTTTCCCATCGCTGCTGTTTAGAACGGAAGGGTGAATAATACAGTATTACTATTTTACTACAGTACGGTACTTTAATGCTTCGAATTCCTCTCGTCTGAAAATTAATTCTAACTCGAAGGAAAAGAAGTGGTCTTATCATGCAATGGTGATATAACCATTCGATGCCATACTAGAAAATTGAAACATACGCAATTTCCCTGGGCTTGACAAAAATTACCGCGCATTAGGCGGTGAAGGTGCAACGCTCCGTCATCTTGAACTACTTCTACTTCAGTTTTTCTTTGAATGGAGCCGTATCTTTGACGTGCAATCGCGTGCTGGGTTGCCGTCAACCATTTCATTTTTGTGCGTGATCATTTTCTCCCTTTGGTACAGAATCAACTTGATCGATCTGACGTAGTAGTCGCATAATTCGTAGTCATTTTGAACGATACATAAGATTAGGTACATGGTCCAGTCTCGTTATCTTTCGCCGCCATCAAGATGAGCCACCCAAATCCTTGAAGAAACAAATACAGAATTAGCATGAGTATTTGTCCATGCGGCATTCATAGCGATCAATATGCGATGCTGCAACTTCTTCATTTTCCTTGAAGTTATCGTATTCACCCATGCAATGGTTATTATCGACAAATGTCCTATCCATGCGACTGTATTTATTATTGTTTGTAGTATGCCCAGTTGCCGAAATGCGCATATCGTAGGGATCTAAGCTCGCTCTTGGCATGCCATTGTTCGTCATAATAACACGGCTGCATTCATTTGCATCGCACAGGTTTGAGTAGCGATCCTCCCGCAATCCGTTAGTTTTATGAGCTGTCTTGCTTTTATAGCATTTCGTCGCGTTGTAGTCGCTATCATTCCGTAATTGATTCATTCCCCCAGTCCTTGATGCGGCATTGCTGTTGTAGCTTCCTATCTCGTATCGATCACCTAAACCCTTGGTGTATTTATCTCTTGGGTGTTCATTACCCATAACATTCTGATCGAGTTGTGAATCTTCATCGCAACCAACGTCAAATGGGTCCTGGATTATCGTTACAAACACCATACTGCAGTCAGTAAATTAGTGGGATTCTTATGAAGGATAAAATATTGAATAATCGACCTATTAGATTTTAGCTCAGTGCTCTTTCAAAATGAGTTTCAATTGGCGAGTAATGATGATGTTGATACAGTAACGTTGATTTAAGATGCTCATGGTTAAGAACAAAAACTTCGAAATTCAAAACACATGACTACGGTACGATACTTGTAACAACGAACGAAAGTAACGACTACGTACGGTTACGGATACGAGTACGGACTGTCATCCTTATATCTTTCACCATACAAAATACTTTACGTCAAACTGATACCAGTAGTAACAAAAATTTTAACGGTTCGAATACGAGCACAACTTATTTAGACACGACACAGAATTCCAGGACTCAATTCGCCGGAAACGGTGAGACCACGTCCACGTTTGACGAGCGACGATCAGTTCAAAACCAAATGCTGGTTAAAAACTAAAATTTGTTCTGTACTCCAACGAAGAAAGGAAAAAAAACAGGAATTGATAGATCTACCGATCATTACAGTATTTCATGAACCAATACCGTGATTCACATGACAATTAGATCATCACACTTCATGTGGAATTAATTGATACTGTAGAATGCTAATTATTATCTTGATTGTCAAAACTGGCTTTTGAGATACAAATCGCCGTTGAAATCCCTCACGGGACAATTCACTCAGTCCACGACTCTACGATATGGTATCACGATGTGTTCACTTGGAGTCGTTTCTGAACAGATATCACACAATTCGATTTTCTATTCGTTGGAGATATTTTCATCTGAATGTCAATAATCAATTTGAAAGAAGGAAACGACAAATAAAACTAGCAAACATGATGTTCACGTTCTCACTCTGGATAATTTCCCTTGTGAGTTTCTCGCTTTTCCGTCCCAGCAAAGGAGCTGAATGCATTTCCAGTTTCAATGATATTTACGAAGCCAAAAATACCGCCACCAACACCAACGTACATATGGCGGTTGTCACGTATCGCATACATCAATTGGAGAATACTTCAATCTATATATTTGCGCATGACAGAGATCCCGATGCATACGACCAAGTTCTAGTCGATATTTCGGTTCGTGTGGCAAGTAATAGCAAGAAAAAAATCTCACTGGAATTGATGTACAACGGCAAAGTCGAAGCATCGAAGACCCTTTCCTCCAAAGGATTTGGATACCAAAAATTTTCCACTGTCACCTGGCGAAGCGTCCCCTTGGAAACTATTCATACGATAGATTTTCGTTCTTACAAGGCAACACAAATTTCTGTGCCATTGGCGTGATTTTCAGTGGCGAGGCAATGCCGACGCCAGCACCTTTCCTAGCCCCAATTTCAAAAACTCCGTCCGAGCCTATTCACAAAACTCCGCCTATTACTTGGGCGGCATTGGACTATGATATTGTCTATGAGCGATCTCCTGATATTTCTGACGGAAATTGTATTAATCGTGGTGACGGCGTCGATGCACAGCGCACTTCTGACAGTATTTGTATCAATCGAGACAACAGTAATTGTAATATTGGGTGGTGGGATCGTGATGAATATTTGATCTATCGGTTTAATATCTCTCAAGATGGAGAAGGAAATTACAACATTCGTGCCCGTGCTGCGACGAGTAGGAGCGACAGATACATTCACATGGACATTTTCTGCTTCAATGAGAGACGATCTTGTCAACAAGATGTCATATGATCTTGAATCATCGTTGCTCTGTGATCTAGTAGACAAGGAATTTGCGGTTCGCTTTGTATGTAGTAACCTTCCTACTTTCCCTACGTGTGGTGATGATTTCGTTCTGTACCAAGACGAGGACTTGCTGCTGCGAAGACCTAGCTTTGACGATGTGAACGATGCAGATAATGTACTAGGCGGAAACAAAAGTCGGCCGCGACAGTGTGTGTCGAAATTTTTAGCAACCAAGTGCGGTGCCCATTGTGATGGCCTAATACGATTGTTTTCATCCGTCGAAAGAGCTGTTACTATCGTTTCAATATTGCAAATTCCGTGACAGTAAGTATTAAATGGGGTTGCTTCTTTCGAGGACGAAGTTTGAATACAACAACATACAGTACAATAATATGAGAACACTCTTTCCCTCCATGAAACTCACAAACGTTGAACTACGTTATGCATTTATATCATTTTGACTATTTTCGTACTTTGTTTTATATCACTTTCAGATAGAAACACACAGTTTTCTTATTGACCATTACAAGTTCATCGATGGGTTTTGCACTTCTGAAGTCAGTGCCTGTATCAATCCTTATTTCTACGAGAGGATTGTCATCTTTTTTGATTGTATCTTCACCAACAGATGTTTACCTCATCGATGCGATACAAATGATAGCTGAGGATGAACCATCGATGAAACTGAGGATTGTCTCTACTACAGTAACAACTGCGACACCGTTATTCTGGACCAAGTCAGTTAGTTGTTGAAAGAAAGCTAGGATAAGCAAAAAGATCGTGGGAACTGTAACGTACCCTATAAGTACTCGTACAGAACGAGCCAAAAAACAATTCTCAGGTTTTTGCAGGACGAAATTGAAATGATGTGATTGATGCACTCCAAAGATACCGTGCATGAAACACACTTGAAGCACGACTCGAGGACTACGGAGAAAACTTCTTGAGACAGATTACAGTAAGTTGTTACTGTATTGAAGTATTGTTTTTTATTTAAGCAATCTCTGTTTAAAAACATTTCGGAGAGGTGCTACTACGTACGAGTACGCAAGGTACAGTACGGAATACGGACCGGCGAGTTACAGTCCACATTACAACAACTAAAGATATTTCTGTATCATTACTATTTTTTTTCTACTACTACTTCTGAAAATGTTTCTTATCCTGGCTAGAAATACAACACATATCGGTGAAGTTTGACATCACGCGATGGCATTCGTTATCACTCAGAAAAATTCAATACTCTTGCAGAGAGAAACATCTCCGAACAGTGATCTTTGACTCGTGGGGAAGTGTAATATGGAGCAAGACCTCAAACAAGGCAAATCCAATCTCAGTCCTTGCCCCAATTCAATTTCTCATAAAAAAGAATCTCATTGAAAAAAGAAACAAATCATTTAACACCATGCTTCAGGAAACCTACCTAGTATTATCTGCCACTGGAAGACAGGGAAGTGCAGTGGTCGATGCTCTCATAGCGAAGAATGCCAACATTTTTTGTAGCTCTCGCCAACCGGAATCATTGAAGAAAAAAAGAGGTTAGTAGTATTTTTGGTCTTGACTTCCAAATAATCGTACTGGGCACCTTGTACTATTGTAAAAACTCATCGCCTTTTAAAATTTTGCGTACTATATTTACTGGTCTCATTACTGTCTATGAATGTGATAAAGGAGATGCAGTCTCTGTGTTGAGAGCTGATATGAATGACACCGCAAGTATTGTTGCAGCCCTTGATGCATCAAAAGCAACGAGAGTTTGGTTCACAACCGACTTTTGGTCCCTCTCGAAGCCAACCCGTGCGAAGGAGGCGAAACTTGGTTACAACGTTGTGGATGCTATCAAACAGCGTTCAAACCAAGTGAAACATGTTGTTTACAATTCTGGAGCTGGAGCCGATGCCGCACCTACCAAGATGCAAGAATTTTGGAGCAAGGTAGACGTCGAAAGATATATGGAAAAAGAGCTCGGCCCTTTGAAAATCACTTGGTCGGTCTTGCGACCAGTCGCTTTCTTGGAAAATCTGGATGATCAGAAAAATGGAAACCCGCTGAAAAAGGGAAAAATTAAAATGCTTACCAAGCCTAACATCGCAGTCGAGTACATCAGCTGTAAAGACATTGGAAAAGGAAGTGCTGAACTCCTAATGCATCCCGAACTATATGCAGGACAAAAGATTGATGCTGCTACTTGCGAGCATACTGGGCCCGAACTTGCTGACATTCTTTCTGAAGTCTCTGGAACGACGTGCACGTATTCGATGTCGGTACCGAGAGTAATTCTGTACTTGTTTGTTCGCCAGCTGTATTATTTGGTAACTTGGATTGAGCAAGGTGGGTACGATGAGACGGACATTGATGCATTCAAAAAAGTCGTACCTGATTGCCAAGACGCGAAGGCGTGGTTTTCCGCCAAAGGTAAATGGGCGGACGGTGAAAAGTTCGTGAGTAAAAGTATTGAATGAAGGTCGGAACTTCAGACAAAGTTAGAGTACCTTGCACTAAGAATACATATTTTAATGAAAGTGAATAGTTAAAACTCGTGTCCTGCAGTTTTCTTTCGCCACGTTCAATAAGGAAGTTTGTGAACGAAAATTAGTTGCTCCTATTCACTATAGTTCTATAGTGATGTATATGAATTGGATTCTCCGTAGATCAATTTACTATCTGTGAATTGGGTATTGACCTACGATCTCGTAGTATTTTTTTGGAACTCGCAAGATCCGCACGAGATCAAATTGAACAGAACAATTCAAAAGACTATTTTGAGGCAACACATGAATGGACGTGCAGAGCCTGCGATTGATATGTGCAATAATGCACTACCGATTGGTCACCTAACGGATGCAATCATCCATTGCACAACATTCTTGGCGGGGACAAGAGAATGAGTGTGATAGAACAAACAGTTGATATCTTCCGATTTTTTTTCCGTTTTGCTTGGGTTAGGCGGCTTGAAGCATGACAAGAAACGTGTCAAATTTTTTCTCGGCTAACGTATTGTACATAGGGCTTCATTTTGTGTTGAAATTGTTCTTCTTCAATCCGTTTGTATTCGTTGTGAAGATAACATTAGAGGTCCGACAATTGGGAGAACTTTGACAACACTGATGAGAAGCATTGTGTACCACACCATGTTTTATCAAACAAACCAATAACGGTAACTTCAAAGGTCCATGGAGGACACAGACGCGAGGATCTCCCGGTGAATATTCAAGGATTTGTTTCTCACCGCAACAGCATGATGCCCCCTTTTTCATTGAAAGCAGAGCTATACTGTATGAAAGAACGATCTGAAAAAGTGCCGAGCATACCCCATCCTAGAATTTTGAGTTTGAGTTTCGTACGGATCGATCAATTGATCGTCGTCTCTCAGCTTGGGGAGAAGAGTCCGATTGATGTACCGTATCTCGACCGCTGGCTGGCGGTTCGCACCTGATTTACCCTGCATACTCTCTCGTAATAGATGCACCGCATTACACCACACAGCATCCCCTGGAAAGAAGCCAGCACAGTTCCAAACATAGTAGCGGACAGAGTCACAACTATCGTTCTGTAAAGCGGGGAGGAGTCTGTATCGCCCATGACACCGTCGATCTCGACTTCAGCGTAGTCGACAAAAGTGTCTTCAACGTTGTTGTTCATTATTGAATCGGTATCGTTGTTGGAATTCAAAATACACGTCGGCTTGTCCACACAACTCCACTCCGAGATCTTCATTCAAATCAAAACGCAGTGCAGCGTTTGATTTTGAGTATTCGTTCGAATCAGACGCTTACACGGAGTACAGGGATCTGTTGACAATAATGTCGCACGAGTTGTAGGATAGGGTTAGGGTTTACTGTATACCTGATACTACAATGCACTGGACATGGAAAATCGACAAATCACGCAACATCCCATATTCTTTAATTTATTAGAAGTGATTAGATTGACTAATTCATTAGAGCTTCAGTTCATTGGACAACTTGTCGGTCCTGCCGGTCAGGAATTGATCGATGGACTTGAGTTAACAACATAAATTAAAGAATAATCAAAGCAAGAAGAAGATGAGCGACGCGGACGACAAGAAAGTCAAGTTCGAGGCTCCACAAGAGGAGAAGGAAGGAAAGAAGTACACCACTCCAAGGAAGCCCCGACACAAGAAGAAATACCATCAGAACAGCTACCAAAAGAGCAATAAGAACATCGTACAAACGTATACAAGCAAGACCGAGGAAATAAAGGATGACACATTCACCATTGGTAGCAACATGGGAAAGAAATGGATGACGAGTCGCGAAGCGTTCATCAACTATGCAGGGAGAACATACGGAGGAAGTGTGAAAACCTCCTTGCACCGACTAAAGATGACAATACTACATGTCAAGAGACCCGAAGAATACACTGACGAGGAATACAAGGACCTTCCCCAAAGATTACAGGACATATGGAAGATGGAATACAAGAGATACTCAGACATGGAGGTGAAGGTACAAGATCAGCTGATTAAAGCGTATGACATATTATGGGATCAATGCGAGCCAGCACTGAAGAACAAGATCAAATCACAACCAAACTACAGTGAAACTATGGAGACCTCAGACGTGATCCAACTACTACAAATGATAGATCACATCTGCAGCTCCAACGACGCAACAAAGTACTACGAACTACAAAGCTTCTACGCCCTGAAGAGACTCATCAACTTCAAACAAAGGGATGATGTTGATGTTGCTGACTACTACAAGGAGTTTGAAATGCTGTTACGTGTGGCTGAGCAAAATGGAGTAAACTTTGCTACTGAAGAGAGATGCAATCACGTGGCCGCAACACTATATCAAGGAAGAAAATATGCCGAGCTGGACCAACACCTTCAGCCTGACATTAAGAAGAAAGCAAGAGACAGGTTCATTGCTATCGTCTTCATGATGAATTCCCATAGGACCAAGTATGGAAAATATAAGGAAGAATGCAGCAATAACTTTGCACAAAAACAGGACCAGTATCCCAAGACTCTTACGGATGCATTGACCGTACTCGAGCAGTATCGATACAACCCACAAGTATACAGTAAACACGGTGACAGCAACAACCAACAACAGAATGTGATTGCCACAAGTGCACACAGTTTCTTCCAACAGGAAGATGATAAAGAATCAAGCAAGTCAAGCATTACCGCCGGTGATAAACAACACGGTGAACCGGATGAGGACCATAGCAATGATAATGCCAGTACTAACTCATCAGTTACATGCTACAACTGCGATAGAAAGGGACATATATCACCCAACTGTACATACACCACGAAAGAGAATGGGGATCCCACTGCTAAAGAGATGCGCCGAATGAGGGGACCCAACCAACAAAAAGACAAGGGAATAGTGACTAAACAGATAAGAGATGTAGCAAAAGGAACAACAATGGTAATTACAGATGAAATGATTGAGGAATGGAGCGATACACTTACAGTCGATGACTATGGTTACCAATTCAACATTAATGCATACAGTTCCCCACGAGCCCCACTGAAAGAAATAATTACGGAAGACTTAACATCGAACACTGAGACAGTTTATAATAAGATCGAAGGGAGACTGAATCCATTCTGGATACTATTGGATAACCAATCAACGGTACACGTCTTTTTCAACACCCTATTCCTCCGTAACATACGACAAGTGAATAAAGAACTGCACCTGTACACTAACTCCGGGAAATCTGTCATCGATGAAATGGGAGAGTTGCCAGGATTTGGAACAGTATGGGTTCACAGGAGTGGAATTGCGAATGTACTGTCTTTCCACGGTGTGAAAAGCAAACAAAACTACCACATTACGTATAACAGTCGGATCAAGGATGCATTCAATGTGGAAAAGCCAGATGGCTCCACACGAGAGTTCGTGCCATCAGAGAAAGGACTGTACTATTCAGACTTCTCCCCTATGTTCATATCACCCGCCAGTCATAAGAAGACTGGAACAACACTGCAGATCGAAACTGTAAAGAACAATATCACAAAGTTCTCAAAGCAAGATGTACTACGAGCGAAAATAGCCCGTGAGTTCCAACACACTGCAGGACACCTCAGTGAACACCAACTACTTCGGATTGTCCGGAATAACCAATTAAAGAACTGTCCTATCACACCACGTGATATTCGTCTGATGCGGGCAATATTTGGGCCGAGCATCCCCGGATTGAAAGGAAAAATGACACGGAGCAAGCAAGCAAGCGTAACTCCCGAAACCATACCAGTCCCAGCCCATGTCAAAGAACATTACCAAGATCTGACCCTGGGGATGGACATAATGCACATCAACAAAATTCMTTTCCTGACAACCACATCAAGACACCTCCACTATCACGCGGTCACCGCCCTGCCCAACATGCAGACAAAACACATCATTGACGCAATCACAGCCTTACATCAGTTCTATCGACTCAGGAACTATCGAATAACTCATATCCTAGCAGATGGACAGTTTCACCAATGCCAGCATCCAGTTGCAGCGTTACATATAAACCTCAACTGTGTTGCCCGAGAGGAGCACGTCCCTGAGATTGAACGGCTCCACCGCACCATCAAAGAACGCTGCAGATGTAACATCCACATGGTCCCATTCAAGAAGCTTCCAAAGCGACTAACCGTGGGCCTTGTAAGGAATGTCATCTTCTATCTCAATGCGTTTCCCCATCCAGATGGTCTTTCCAATGAGCTATCCCCTTACACACTAGTAACAGGGAAAACTGTTGATTTCAACTTACACTGCTCAATAGCGTTTGGCACATATGCCCAAACCCGGGAACCAACTGACAACACTATGCGAGCGCGATCAGTTGGAGCTATAGCCATGGGACCAAGCATGAATTACCAAGGAGGCGTACTATTTTTTAGCCTAAACACTGGTCGCGAACTTGATCGCAGCAAAACAGACTACACTATACTCCCTATGCCCACTGATGCAATCCAACAAGTTGAGCATATGGCACGAGACGCGCCAGACGGCATTGTATTTACTGACCGTAACAATGCCCCATTCCCGGATGATGACATGGACTATGCCCACGCTCCCGTCCACGATCCATCCACGGTACTGGACCACGCTGAACTACAACAAGCTAATTTGCCTACACTACAACACGCTACACAAATTACAGGAGTGAACACTAACAACACTAACAACACAAACACAGATACAAACGAACATGATATCGAGATCACCGCTGATGACACAGTGGACGTCGACAACGACAACGACGATGACGAGACAGCTGAAATTACACCGGACATACATCAGTCCCACCAACAAGAGAATAATGAAATCACAGGAGTGGAGGATCCGGATGATGAATTGGATGAACCTACTGAGGTAGAAGAAGAAATCGATGAAATTGAGCAACCCCGCCGATCAACGCGAATCCGGAACGCTATAAATAGACCCATGGAGGGACAATTTGAATATCAATACCTCCACAACGCAACGCTAACAACAGACAAGAATGACACGATACAGCTACTCGACACAGCTAATGAACGAGCAAACTACATGGAAACACTAAATTACATTGCACAGATGGAACAGAAAGATAACTACATAAATGACATGATAATGATGCAATACAGCCTCAAGGCTGGACTCAAGAAATTCGGTGAAGACGGTCGCAGAGCAACAATGAAAGAACTACGACAAATGCTAACAAGGGAAGTCTTCAGTGAAATAGATTATAAAAGTATACCACACAGCGAGAGAAAAAAGGCACTACCAATATTACTCTTCCTCACACTAAAAAGGGACGGAATCACCGTGAAAGGACGAGCCTGCGCTGATGGGAGACCCCAGAAGCTATGGACCCCGAAACACGAATCAGCCTCACCAACGATAGCAATAGAAGCACTATTCTTCACACTAATCATGGATGCAAAAGAAGGAAGAGACGTGGCAACATGTGATCTCCCAGGACATTTCCTGCAAACGGACATGGAAGGAGAGATCCTCCTGAGACTAGACGGACCACTGGCTCTCCTGCTAGCAAAGATTGACCCAAAACGGTGGCGGAAGCATATCAACACTGAACGGGGACGACCAACGATATATGTAAGATGCGATAAAGCTATCTATGGAACAGTTACGGCAGCATTACTATCATACAAGAAACTGATTGGCCACTTAACTGACTGGGGGTTTGAAATGAACCCATATGAGCCGTGCTGCTGGAACAAGACCGTTGGAGGGAAACAATGCACTGTGGTATTTCACGTAGATGATATGAAACTAAGTCACGAGGACCCAGCCGTGGTAACCAACTTAATAAAGCACTTGGAGTCAATATATGCGAAGACTGATCCCATGACAGTAGTCAGGGGAAAGATCCACCACTATCTAGGAATGACCATCAACTTTGATGAACCAGGGGAAGTGAAGATCACCATGTATGACTACATAAAGAGGATGATAGACGAACTACCGAGTGATATGAGAGGAACACGGACCACAGCTGCACCCCCACACCTGTTCAACACCGACTATACAGGGATGGATAAACTGGATCGAACAAAGAAAGAACTGTTTCACTCATTAACAGCACAGATACTGTGGTTGGGGAAACGAGGAAGACCAGACCTGCAGTTAGCAACAGCATTCCTCTGCACACGGGTCAACGAACCCGATATAAATGATTACAAGAAACTAAAACACCAGCTTATGTATTTACAGCATACAGCTCACCTCCCACTCATCATGAAAGCCAACGGTGAAGGAACATCCCTATATATAGATGGGGCACATGCAGTACACGCCGATATGAAAGGACATGGAGGAGCATACGCGACAATGGGGAGAGGAACAGTATACGCCTCATCCACCAAGAGCAAAATCAATACAATCAGCTCAACCGAAACTGAACTAATATCAGTAGGAGAAAAGTTACCAAAACATCTTTGGTTCAGACAGTTTGCCGTTGAGCAGACAGGAGATGACAATCAAGTACACACGCTATACCAGGACAACAAAAGTGCAATATTGCTACAGAACAATGGAAGGCTATCGTGTAGGAAAGGTTCCAAACACATACACATACGATACTTCTTCATAACAGATCGTATTCAAAATAAAGAAGTGGAAGTGAAGTACTGTCCAACAGACGACATGATTGCTGATTATTTCACCAAGCCGCTGCAAGGGAAGACTTTCCTGAGATTCCGTGACATGATACTTGGAATCAACAAGGAAGACTTTGGTACATACAAGAGACAGTACCTTGAAGCGTTGGAGGAGTTCGGTCTAACCAATGATCATAACGTGACAATGGCAAGCCCGCAGGAGTGTGTTGACAATAATGTCGCACGAGTTGTAGGATAGGGTTAGGGTTTACTGTATACCTGATACTACAATGCACTGGACATGGAAAATCGACAAATCACGCAACATCCCATATTCTTTAATTTATTAGAAGTGATTAGATTGACTAATTCATTAGAGCTTCAGTTCATTGGACAACTTGTAGGTCCTGCCGGTCAGGAATTGATCGATGGACTTGAGTTAACAACAGGATCCGGAAGGCAGGGTATCTGGCTAACATTTTGATATTTTTGTGTCGGGATGGGTGAACGAGCAGAACAGGATCCGAGTATCTTACTTGGTAATTGATTTTAATTTTTACAGAATACGAAGGTGACACCTTGCTGCCAGAAAGTGACAAGGAATATAACACGTAGACTTTTTTTAAATAGATTTAAATAGACATCGGCTTATGAACATACCGGTACAAGAACATACAAAAACATGTGTATCGCTCTCTTCCTTTTCAGTTGCCACGTGGATTGGGGGTCAACTACATTCCTAAGCCTATCAAATCCCGGATTGTTTCAACGGCTGTTACAGAGGTCAACGATACATATGTCGCGATCAAACACTTAGATATGAACGGAATGTTGAAATTTTTTCTACCGATAAGTTTTCTTAACTTTTTTTTAAAAAGGACGCCTCGCTTACCCCGCGCCAAAAAGATGACGTTTAGTAGGGCGCGATGGTTCGATCTCGGTGTCGTTGATCGGTATGAACTTCATTTTCTTTGTGCCGTAAAGGTGCGTCGTACGATTCAAGCGGATGCAGAACGGAGTCGTCGTCCAAAAAAACCAACGAACTAGAAGCTTCAGAGTTCTCTTTCGTGGAACAAATTGATTTCTACTCCTCCGGCACAAAATACAAATCTTTTGACATGGAGTCTTCCGCCGCAACGTCTTCCTCCCGACCAATAGCTGTTTCAACAGAGCAGTCGTCGGGGGATCAAAGTTCTGCCGACAACCCCTTGTTGCTCGCAGATGAGCAGAAGATGATCGATATTGAAAAGCCTCATCACAATGATGTTCTCTGCGGTAGGGGCGTGACAACAAACAGGCATCCCGGCAACGAAAGTTTTCGAAGCCTAGTCGGGTTGAACAAGGTAAGAATTTTGAATTCCGTATTCCTTGAATTTTACATACCCACAAATAAAAATATAATTTTTATAGGAATCGAGCTGTTCGTGACCGAATTTTTCGCAAGTTTTTCAGTTTCTTGCGTCGTTCGAAAAACTTCGCACGATCGACGAAATATTTTCGAATTTCGGTGTTTTGCTTCAAACCATGCTGCTGTGGCAGGTGACACGACTATATCTTCTAGGCGATCTTCATCGCCTTTTCCCAGCCCCTTGTTATTTTTTCTCACTTTGATCCGGTCTCTTTGCTTCAATTCGATACTTCGACGCAAATGATGGCGATGGTGATAGGAATTGTACGTCTCAAGCACGAAGAGGCAGAAAATGGGTATCTCTAGATCTATTGTCCAGGCCGTCAGATCCCTCGATCCTCCTGGCAGGTTTCTCGATAAGGATAGTATATCGGGCCTATGGCATGACATAGGTCACAAGAAAGCTGTAGAAAAAACAAGCCAAGCTCTTCGGGATGGAGCGGCAATGTTACGGAAACAGTTGTCGGCTGACTTGGGCGATCCGAATTTCCTAAATGCTGTCTTCAATGATGATGTAAATAATAAAACAGAGAAGGGTGGTGACTTGGCTAAGAAGAACAAAGATAAGGCCACGATTAAAACAAATGGGAAAGAGAATAACAAGGAGTCCAAGACGGGCTCTCCAGAAAAGATGAAGGTTATTAAGGTAAGTCCAATCTTCACCTAACGCTCATGAGTTCACATTATTTGGAGACCGATTTCTGATTCACGTGTGTCTCTGTGATTTGTAATGTGTTACTCCAATAGGCAAAAAATGCCCAGGGAAAGACAGGGAGTTCGCGTGTTATGTCGGCTTTAGCCGGTGCGACGAGTAAGAGCAAGATGAAACGACGGTTCAAGAGACCTGAGGAACCGAGAACACCGGGTGCCGATTATCGATGGAACTATCACCAGTGCCCTCCTTCTCCTCGTTCTCCAGGACCTGTCCCATCGCATGCACGTTCTCTTCCTAGCTCACCCATGCCTTCTTGGGGTGCGGGTCCGCCTCCATCCCCATATGTAGAAAGGCATGGATCGTTTTCACACCATCACCCCACGAACCATCACTATCCGCCTCCTTCACCATATAGCAATCACCCTGAACACGAACGCTATCGAAGCCATTCGTTTGAGTACTATCATGGACCCCCTGGACCAGACCCTGGGCTGCCTCCACGTCATCATTCTTGGTCTCCGTACGGTAGTAGTCCTCGCCGTCCGAGCGATCAGTACCAACAAAGCCATCATCGCTATCACCACCACCATCCACGAACACCACATCATCCACATCATCCACATTCACCGGTTCCAAGACGGTCATCGACATCTCCTCCGCCCCACCAAGTGTCGTCTATGAGTGCACCCTTTCCATCAAGGCAGCATATGTATCCACAGGATGAATCTTACTCTAACAACCCTCCGCCAGAGCCAGGAGAGGAACCTTGGTCTCCCCGACGCGGCTTTAGGTCTTCTTACGAGACATATACCTCACCTCAGCCGTATTACTCACCACCATATGGTGAATACGGGCCAGAGAGAGCGCCTACTTGGACTCCTAGACCAGGTTCACCAGGTCATCACGACTACTACTATAATCCTCATCAGCACGGTGACCGAGGTCTTGCTGTACCGTCTTTGGGTGAAGAGAGAAGGCAAGCGAAGCAGTTTTCGCCGTCGCTGCATCTAGCACCTCGCTCAAACATACAAGTAATTGGTGAAGAAGAGACTCAACCGATTCCACCACCAAGATCCTGCCGTCGAGATTTTCGTCCTCCCACGCCCAACAGTAGAGGATACCTTCGATCAAAGGAAGATTCTAATTATTACCGATGCGCATCTGTCGAAGAAGAGAAGAAAACTGCCGACATAGATAAATCGGCCAAATCATCTATCGACATGTCAAATCCATCAAGAAAACGAGAATTTTTTTCTTGGGCCGAACCTGTAAAAACCGAATCTAGATCGAGCCCGGACCAGGAAGAGATCGAGAGGAATTGTATCGATGCTCGATTCAAAAAGGAAGACCAGGTTGAATCTAGAGCCAGTCCAGGGGGTCTCCTTCAGATTAAGAAGGACGACGATCAATCTGAAGAAGCACAAGCGGTGGATGATATTGCGATGTCTCCCCTTCCGTTTGATCGTGAAGATCCTGTTACGCTGCTGGATTTACCCGAAGACATATTGGCACTTCCCATATCGCCCTGTGGCGGTCCTCATGACGGAGATGAACAGGCTCTTTCCTAAGTAAGCAATGGGGTGTTTCTTAGGTTGCCCAAAAAGAATGGCGAGCGATAATATACTTTATTTGTACAATGGATGCCAGTGAGTTGGTATCAGAAACGTCACGTATTTAAATAGAAAGTAATTTTTAGCAAAAAATGTTACACTAGGATATTTCTATCTTTTTGTACGAACAATATGACTTCTAGGTCATCGTTCCTCCCGACGGTCGTAGCGGGTCTTCGGGATCATGATCTCTGCTACTTCGTCGCACAAGTTTGGGCCGATCTAATGCAACGAGCGAATTTGAAGATAAGCGTTGGTTTTCAACATCACTTAAATCATCGCCTGAATTTATTGTAGACTTTACTGCTGCCAACTCAATACTGGTGCCTGTGGAAGAACTGGACGTACCTGGATCGAAAGTGTCGCGGTTAGGTTCTTGATAGGGCACTGCATCAAAAGTTTCATCCCAATCATAACCTAAGACAACTTTTTTCATCCCATTGGGGAATTCTACCGGAGTTGGAAGAAACCAATGCCATGCAACTTGATTGCTATTCCCTCCGAACATTTCATTGAATTCTTCTGTCACCCTTGTCAACTCTGTTCCTGCCGTGCCGACCCTCATTTTCATTCGCGCAATTTTGCTTGCATTGGTTTGGATTGCCTCAATTTGTTCAAAGAACATACAGCTCGTAAACAAAAAAAAGACAACAGATACCACCAACAATACCAGCCCCAAATAGCTTTCATTCCAACCAGTGCACTCGGGCTTGTTGTTTTCCATCGAATTGTTGCTGTCTGTCTTTCCAACTACTGTATGCAATAAGGGAGAGGGGTATCCACAGTAAAATGTCCTTCCAATCATCAAGCCGATCGAGCAGAGACAGGACACCATTGTGTAACCGACAAATAACACAAAAAATTTATGGTTCATAGCACCTACAGCGTTGCCAACCCAGGGGCAGAAGTGATCGAACTTGACAATGCATCGCCCAGTTACAGAATCATGGTGTGCTCTTGGCGGTTTAAAGTTGTCGTTGCATTTATGACACCTCCTCAGTGATCGGCTTCGACTACTATCGCTGCTAGAGCTAGCACCAGCACCTCCAGCTGTCATGGAAGATGCAGGTTTCACGGTTACTAAAGGCCGAGCACCAATTGGTACAGCACCGGGATCCGTTGTCCTGAATAGAAAAATAATCCGAAATGAGAAAGAGAAAAGGGCTTGAGAGATAATAATGATCTAAGAGAACGATTCGCAGTCTGCGACTCTAGGAAGTGGTCGAAAGCATCGAAGTACACTGGTAAATTCCAACTCTTCTGCAAATGGAGCAGCTTTGGCGTCAAGTACAGTCTGTTTGCATATTGTAACTAACTTACCATGCCATAAACAGAGATGCGAGAGCCAGAAGAGAAACGGGCAGATACAATAGCAAGAAGAATGCCGTCGCGATCATCGAATCTTCGATCAAATACCAGACGATGACGCAAAGAGCAAAAACGTGAACAGAAAAGCTTAATGTGACTCCGATCAAACCGCAAATATCCAAGGACAGCCACCTCGTCGCCTCGAAACTAGTGCCAATTCTAGCACCGCAGCAGTCCTTGCGGCCCCCCATAGCGATAGTATTGCTGATTGTGCAGATTAAACGTTTGTTCAAAACGAACGAAAGTGTGGATTGCAAACTGATTGCAGAAATTTTCCGGCGTATCTTTATCTTTTACTTTCGAAATCAGGTAACTCCGGTAGTGTGAGACAGGAAGTTTTTGGTTTTTCCTTCCGACGTTGTTGCTCGACTGGCGCTTTTTGTTTTACTCGTTCTCGTACAAGGTTAGAGACAACATACAGTAAACTTTTTTTGAAGGCATTTAATGTACCAGTAGCAACATACTGTACTGTAAGTTACACCCTCCGCTCCCATAGAATTAGTTCCGCACGATACGATGTGGATCTGCTACAGTATCCCACAATTTGTACCATACCGTAGGGTACCAGGTACCCAAGTTCGTCTACCAGGACGAACATTACAATTATTGTTTCTTACCGTACATCTTGGCGCTGTCGTGGGATGTGAGATGTGAGATGTGAGATGAATTTCATTCGTGATGACAGCGGCGAGCGTTCTCGTTGCTTTCGCACAATTAAGCAATCAAGTTCCACGACTCAACCTTCAAACACTCTTTTCTTGGTACTACTACTACTACTACTACTACTACTACTACTACTACTACTACTACTACTACTACTACTACTACTCATAGTAACTACTACTACTACTAGTAATACTAGTAATACTACTAGCAGCAATAGCTACCGGTATTTGGTTTAGTAGTCCACAAGCTGGTGTATTCATTGAACAAGAGAACCAACACAAAAGCCTTGTTGCTTGCACTACAGAACTTGCCGCTCAAGAACTTGTTTCTGGCCTCCTGCATGATGTCTTTTTCTTCTTGTTGAACAACTCTCTGTCTTTTGGACCACCAGCAATGGCTCCTACTATGATCCACTTCACAAACCAACCCAAGATAGGGCCACTTTCACTCCTATAGTCTTTGTGCCAAACATATCTATCTCTTCTCTTTCCATCATATCCAGTCTCCTTACTAAGAGTTTGTATCCTCCTCAATGTACTAGTAGTAGTACTAGTAGTATGTCCTGGAATGCCTTTGGTGGGTATGATATTCTTGCCTGCTACTACTAGTACTAGCTACTACTAGTACTAGTAGTTCATCTTCTATACTCAGTACATGCGGAGGAAAGATTGTCAGATGCTACTACTAGTATGTAATGAGGATTGCATAGGAATCCCCCATGCATCACAGCAGATTACATATCTTTGCAACTCTTTTGTGCTAAAGTCTGAGCACAGTGACAACATGTTGCAAACTCCTCACTGCTGACAGTTCCACTTGACTCCTGTATTCACTTCTTCTTGTCAAATTAGTACTTTCTGATATAGATCTCTTGCTAGTAAAGTAGTTTCTCCCACTCTGTCTTGCAAGTGCTTCAACTACTAGTGGTTTGTTGTGGTGCTGAGGTAAGGACAGGAACCTGTACTGGTTGATCACTACTACATTTCTTGTGTATGATTCTATTTTTTTTTCACATAGCATGGCTCTTTGTCCCAGCATAGCATTGTTCTCTTGAGGTTTTCCTCCCTTCTACTGTTGTCATCCCAGGCATTACCTGCAGTCCACCACTAGTATCTTCCTGACCTCTCCCTGGTAATACTTGTAGTAGAAGCACTGGTAATTCTGCTCATTCTTGGAAAGGGGGTAGGAAATGCATCATGAGTAGTACCTGATATCATACTAATTGCAAACAATATACCTACTAAAGTTGTATGGACATCAGAAACATGCTCCACTAGCTAATCCTCTACAATATCCCTACTACTCTCTACCAAATTTTGGGGTACTAATTTTATAGTCGTCTTGTGTCCTTGTCAATCATGTTTGCCTGCCAAACAAATGTAACTTTCAACATGCACAAATTTTTGGCATGTTCAAACAAGTTTGTACAATAGTACTCACCACACTGTACATGAATTTTGTGGTCCAAAATACCAAAAATCAGCTCACAATTTCATGGTGCAGAGAAAGAAACAACCCCCTTATGTATTCTTTTACCATTGCCAGACTACTAATACCAAATCAGACTACTTCACTTGATTCACAGTTCAAATCATCACCTGCCAGTATGATATGCAGAAGTCATCTGATCCCACACCTTTATCAATAGTAATATGCAACAGGATGTAACTTTCTTGCTCCTTCACCTTTCAATTGCTAAACATTTTCCATTCCTCACAGGTTTTATATTTTTTTAAAATAACTGAACTTTTGTTTTGAACAACTCAAAAATTCATTTTTGAGTAACTGCATTTCACAATAACATAAATTCTATTTGTCAATCAGGTTCTATGAAAAATTCTAACCTCCACTCTGTTTGAATTCCCTTTTTGATTTCTTCTCTAATTTTCAGTTTGTTGATTTACAATGCCTCCAAGTTATCATGGGCCCACATGATGTGCTGCTACTTCTAGTAATGCTTTCTTGACCTCCAGAAATCAATCTTTCCACAATCTTTAATTGTGGTTGATCACCAACTCTCCCATCTCTCTGTCCTACAATTATATTTGTTTATCCTGTTGTTCAGTTTGGTTGTCGTGAGTCTTATCAAAACATGAGCCTTTTCTGCCAAATGTAACCCCCAACCCCCACATCTTTGCCAAACCATGGCTTTGATAACACTTATTAAGTCAACCATTTGTCAGAAAACAACCACCAGCAGTAGTAACCAAAGGACATTGCTTCACTGTGACACAAGAGGAGGATGATAACAACAATGCTTCCAGATAGGGAACTTAGCCATCACAATTCCTTCTTGTTGAAGAAATGGAATAACAGAGTTCATATCATATAGTTTGTAGCATACCAGAGTGTTCCTTCTTTCCTCCTGGCCAAGAAGAAAGTGCTAATATGCATGTAATAGTGCAGTAGACTAAAAACTATTATCCAATGATATCGTATAGCGTGGGCCACGCGTTTCCGGCCGAAATTATTGTACATTTTTGAATACGGATATACGTAAACATATATCAGTCAATATTCGTCGGATGCCGTTCTCCTCCACGCCATTAGAAAGCTCTTTCAATTCTCTTTTCAACCATGTGCTTACCATACTTAAGCGTCCGTTGGGCAAAAAGTTATCGTATAGCGTGGGCTAAGCAAAAAAAAAGCACCAGTCGTACATTAGCAATTCAATATATACGTAAACGTATATCCGTCAATATTTGTTGGATGCCGTACTCCCCCATCGCATTTGAAAGCTCTTTGAATTTTCTTTTTAACCATGTGCTTATCATACTTAAGCGTCCGTTGGGGAAAAAGTTATGGCCCAAACTGTCAGTTCAAGACTAAAACAGTTATACGGTTAAATTATACGTGTGCGTGGATAACCGGCCATCTAATTACCGTGTAATGACTCGTGGGATTAAAATTTGACTTGTACCA